GACTGTCAGCTCCCAGGCTGGCAAGGGCTGAAGGAGATATTCAAGCCTGAAGGTTTTAGTGCAGCAAACAAACACAGCAGAGGTGCTGCATGTTCACCACTACAAGAACAGGAGGTTCGGTGGTTGGGAGCAGGAGGAATTCAGCAAGAGGAGGGCATATGCCTAGAATGTCAAGCGTGGAGAAAGCCACACACACTATACAGAATGATCCCTGCAGACATAATATTTAAAGCAGTGGTTCTCAACCAGGGGTACGTGTACCTCTGGGCATAGGCACTGACTGTGTGGGTGCTCCGGGGCTGGAACACCCACGGGGAAAAATTAGTGGGTGCTCTGCACCCACTGGCAGCCAAGCTCCCCCCACCTCCTCCCTTGAGCCCGCCGCGTTCCTGCTCCTCCCCCTCTCTCCCAGCACTTCTGCCTGCTGCCAAACAGCTGTTTGGCGGTACTCCGGGAGGGAGAGGGAGGAGCGGGGACACAGCGCGCTCAAGGGAGGAGGCGGGGAAGAGGTGGGGCGGGGACTTGGGGAAGGGGGTGGAATGGGGGTGGGGTGGAGGCGGAGCAGGGGTGGGAAGAGACAGGGTGGGGACTTGGGGGAAGGGGTGGAGTGGGGGCAGAGGCAGGTCAAGCACCCACTGGCAGGAGCAGAAGTCGGCGCCTATGCCTCTGGCTGTACGCTGGGGTTTTCTAGGGAGTACATCAACTCATCTAGATATTTGACTAGTTTTACAACAGGTTACATAAAAAGCACTAGCGAAGTCAGTACAAATTAAAATTTCATATAATGACTTGTTTATACTGCTCTATATACTATACACTGAAATGTAAGTACAATATTTCTATTCCAATTGATTTTATAATTATATGGTAAAAAATGAGAAAGTAAGCAAGTTTTCAGTAACAGGGTGCTGTGACACTTTTGTATTTTTATGTCTGATTTTGCAAGTAAGTATTTTTTAACTAAGGTGAAAGTTGGGGGTAGGCAAGACAAATCAGACTCCTGAAAGGGGTACAGTAGTCTGGAAAGGTTGGGAGCCACTGCTTTAAAGGGCAGCATAGTAACCTGGACTGCATTGGTGGATGCTATGAATTACTGAGTTCTAACCCCAGTTCTGCCTTTCAGTTGCCAAGCAACCTTGGGCAAGGCACATGGACAGGGTGAGACACAGAGGCCATCTGTAAAGTGCGTTTCATTATACTTACCAACCTCTCATCCAGCATCGTCACGAGGATTAATTAGTTAAGCTTTGCCCAGCGCTTTGAAAATACAAAGCTCTGTATAACTTATGTATGAGGTGATACGAGACTGGTGGCCATAGTGAGGTCTTGTCTATGCTAGGAAAATCCATCAGGGTAGAATGAGCACATTTAAATTTATATGATCTAAACCTGGCTTAAAGGTGATAGATGCAAAACATGTGTTAGCTGGATGTGGTTAACCATAAAGCTGTGGCAGAGCTTAATTTGTAATGAAAGAGGTGCTGGGGCTCAAGCAAATTTTTTACATTCATAACTGATGCAGCCCTGGCACATATTAAGCACTGTGTTGGAGGCAGGGATACACAGAGCCTTTTCCCAGAGCAGCATGACAGTATACAAAAACAAGAAACGGATCGCCACAAGGAGGCAGCACTTGGGCGAATACACATCCCACTTACTGTGGGCCATTCTCTTTGTGGAAGGACAAAGGAATAGTGAGTGTTAAGAATGGGAAGTCCATCCCAATCCCCTTGTGCCTGGGAATGTCTGGGAAAACATATTTAAATATTTTGTTCCTTATAATTAGCCAGTAGGACATGAAGACATCCACCACAAGGCTGTTGGTCTGACTCCAGTCAAGGTCAGAAAGGTCCACAATTTGTTTCCATCTTCTGGCTCTTCAGTTGCCTATATTAAATGAGTGAGGAGGTCTCAGCCTGGTTCCTAATGGACAGGGTGTCCATGACACACAAAACCACCACCCCAATTGGTGTTAATTCATCAAAGGCTACGCTGCACCTATTCTATAGCTGTATAGCTTTATTCCCCAGCGCTGTCAATCTGTCCCCAGCACTAAATTCACTCAGAATTAAACACAGATCAGACAGACTCCTACTTACCAGGAGTGAATGGAAGACAATGCTTCTCCTGGTACAGACCCTTACAGGCCAAGATATCCGCAAAATTTACTCCACAGTAATGGACGCCAACCCTGACCTGCAAGAGAGAATGGAACCTTTCAAGCAATAGAAACATTTTAAACAGATGACTTCACTGTACTGGCATTTTAAAACAGCTCTCCCCTTTCCCAGGTACTTCCATAGTCCCCATTACCACGGTATCTGAGCACATCACAATCCTTCATGTGTTTCTCCTCACAACACCCCTGGAAGGAAAGTCAAGGCTATTATCCCCATTATACAGACGGGGACTTGAGGCACAAAGAAGCTGAGTGACTTACCCAAGGCCACACAGGATGTCTGTGGCAGAGCAGGAAATCAAATCGCAGTCCTTCTAGTCCCAGGCCAGAACCCAACCCACTGGCCCATCCCTCCCTCAAAAGACTCCCATGTTTTCTGAGGCACAGACCAGATCCTCAGCTGGTATAAACCAGGATAGTTCCATTGATTTTATTGGAGCTATGCAGATTTACACCAGCGGAGGAGTTGGCCCCCAGTGTTTTGGTGGAAGATAGTATCCACTGAACAGCAGTTACTATCTCAGGATACTTTTCTATTATGTACTACTTTACTATTCTTTTAACAGGCTTATTTCTTTGACACTCTCCTCAGCGCACCCAGAACTGTCAGCCACTGTGCTGCTTCTGCCTCAGCAAGACAGCTTTGCTGGAGCTTGGACTGGACATCAGCACCCTGCCACAAGCATCCATCAACCTCACCAGCAAACTCTTTGAGACTGACAATCTTAACCTGGCCTTGCAGGGAACATCCAGCAAACCCCAGTTCCCAAGTTCCCCAGAGACGTCTCTGTTGTGTCCAGTCCCTCTCACCGGACTCCCACAGAAATTATTACGTTTACTGCCTCCAAAGAGACAGCGTACACGCCAGCCTGTTCGGACTCATGCTCCACTTCAATATACAGCACTGAGATGGTTTATAGTAAAAACTAAGAATACGTTTATTAATAAAGAATGTAAGATTGTAAGCAATACAGAGCAGAGCTAAACAGAAAATGGTTACAAGCAAAACAAAATAAAACATGCTTTTTAGCATCCAAGACTTAACTATAGCAAGCCACAATATTTGCCTAAACAGCTTTCTCACTTACATCGAGCTACCACATCTCTAGCCCTTCTGGCTAAGTGATGGATAACTAAGGAGTTCTCTCCTTTTTATAGTTCAATAAACCTTCGAAATGTATTCCTCTGAATACATTCCACAGGCAAACAAGCAAAACAACTTTCCTTTGTCTAGGACAACTTGTTTATCAAGTCTGCCCCCAGAACAGATTTTTAGGAACATTTCCAGTGCATATACATAACTGTTTACACACCATACGTACACATCACACAATGCTATTCATGACCAGGGTGTCACCAGTTCTTATAGGATACCTCACTTAATACTCTTTTATAGTACAATAATATTCTATACAATCAATTGATACTGGGGTGTCTGGACCCTGATTGTCACAGTTTTGTTATCAGCTGTTCATTTCAATGGGCTTCTCTGTGCCTTCACAGAATACATTATTTGTGTACACACGAGCACTAAGCATTGGACTATGGATCTTCACCTTATTTTACCTGATCCTAGTGCTGATACAATAATAATTAGCACTTGGGCTTTCCTTGATCAAAGTGCAGTACAACCATGAAATAAGCCTCTCACCAGCTCTGTGAGGTATGGATTGCCACCATATTACAGACAAGGAACCTGAGACTCAGACGGGAAGGGACTCAACTAAAGTCACTCAGCCTTTGATCCAGTGGTTGTTTTAAAGTCCCAAACCATCCTCTTTCTTACTGAATTCTTCTCCTTTCTAATCTGCACACAACCTTCATCTCTAAAGCTCTTATTATTTAGGGAGGAAGTGTGGCCTAGTGGCTGGAGCTCTAGACTGGGACTCAGGGGCTCTGCATTCTAATCCTGGCTCTGCCACTAGTCTGCTGGGTGACTTTGGGCAAATCAATTTCACCTCTATGTGCCTCAGTTTCCCCTTATGTAAAAGGGAGATAATGATACTGACTCCTTTGTAAAGTGTGTTGAGCTCTACCGATGAAAAGATTGTTGTATTATTACTGCAGTAGAATCTAGAGGCTCTGTTGTGCTAGGCACTGCACAAACAGTCCCTGTTTTGAAGAGCTTGCAGTGTAAACGGTCAAGACAGACCAAGACCGGGACAGGAAATGGATTTTGGATTGTGGGTGACAGTGAGGAGAGAGTGAGGGAGAGGAGGAGGGTGCTGCAGTAGAAGTGAGAGGTGATCAGGGCACAAATCAGGGGTGGGCAGATGGCGAAGAGGAAGAGCAGATCTTGGAGATGTCTAAGAGGAAAAACCGGCAGGATTTACCAATAGCATTGATGTAGGGGAAAGAAACCAAGAAGACTAGCACAGGACTTCAAGGCTGTGAGCCTGAGACACAGGGATGTAGGTGGGTTTGCCAGCTAAGGGATATTAGATTATTTGAAATAATCAGCAATTCTGCACATCTCAATCACAGTACCTCATGAGGCTGCAGAGAAGGGGATGGGAGGTTCCTAATAATCAATGGCTTTGTCAGCTCAGTGCACAGCACTGCTCGATAGTTCCGGCAGGACTGCGATAGGATGTCATTGTTCAGTGAGGACAATCCCAGAAGCTGTTTACCTGAAGCACTGCTCCTGCAACAAAAGAGTAAGCACTAGTGTTATACTGTGCTGCATTGCCACCTTCCCACCCCAGAAGCAGCTGCATTTCATGAAGCATTTTGATTATAAAAGATATTGAAAGTACTTTATACAGCAAAGACTGCTGACTGTACATAGGAGATTGCCTATAACCTCTCCATAAAGTGGTTGAACTTGCATTATTCTTAATTTTAAAAACAAAGTGGGAGAGAAGTTTACTGCTGATGAAAGACTCCAATAACACTGGATCCAATAGTACTTAGACCTCCAGGGCAGGGACTATTCTTGGTTATTATATATTTGTACAGTGCCTAGCACAACGAGGTTGCTCTAGGTACAACCTAAATAATAAGCCACCACCGCCCTGATTTGAGTTAAGTATGGTGCAGGTGGTGAAATCTAACCACTGCCATTTCTTAACACCTTTTGTCCCTAAAACAAGGCTGCCTGGGGTTACCTGAGGTTTCTCTGCTGGAGAAGAGGAGGCTGCCCTCTGCTCAGTGTCAAAGTCTCCCATGTGCCTACTCCTAGATTTTTTTTGTAACCCTGTCACTGCAATAGCGGCAGTGCTGCCAAACCTCAAGCACTCAAAAAACATGAGATTATATATATATATATATATATGCACCTATAAAAATTGGGGCGGGGTGTTTTTATTTGCCTCCTGGGTTCAGAGCCTTTAGGGGCTCTCAGGCCCTGTTTTCAGGCTTTTCTCCACAACCAGGAGAGCTAGAAACTTACTTTAACGGGAAAAGGCGTAAAACTGCTATTACTCACCTAATCCCGAGATCCCAAGGAGCTAAACGCCTTTAAAAACAAACCACATGTTGCAAGAGTTGACAGCACTGCCCCCCCCAGCCCCTCCCTCCCGGCAGGAAAGCCCCAGCACCGTCCCGCTCTCTGCACGGGATGGGAGGCGTGAGCCCAGAGAGGTGGAACTTCAGGGGGGACTGCGGCTGGGAGCTCAGGAAGGGGCGGGAGTGAGCAGAGCTGGGGCTCCAAGGGAGCACAGCCGGTGCAGGGCGCGGTTGGGGGGAGCGCGGCCGGGGCGGTGCAGGACCAGGGTCGCGGGCAACTGAGGGTGCGGGAAGCCGGCGGGGCGGCGCACGGCGGGAAGAGGGGGCTGCCCCGGGGCCGCTGGAAGGGGAG